TGGGCAGGAAAGCCAACTGGGAGGCTTTGGGCCAATCCCCAGGAGACAGGGAGTTCTAGTCCCACGTAAGGCAGGAAAGCCAGCTGTGGGTGACTTGGATCCAATCCCCAGGAAATGGTGAGTTCTAATCCCGCCTCAGACATAAAGCTGACTAGGTGACTTTGGGCCAGTCCGTCCCCCCCCCCTCTCTCTCAGCCCAGCCCACCTCACAGGGCGGTGGTTCCGAGTAAAATAGGACGAGAAAAGGCCAGGGGGTGGGGGAGAATATTCCACAGGGCAGGGGCAACGTCATAAAGTGGCCGCCCCTATTGGAGTTCTTTAACCAACGGGAGGGATGGCCTTCAAAACATTTAGCCATGGGTTCTCTGCCCGGGTGGCTGGGTGGGCGTGGCCTAGTCGGCCTCATGCACCACGGCGGGGGGGGGGTGGTTCATCCTACCCGGGCTCCAGAGGCTTTTCTGGAGCCTCCGGGAGGGCGAAAACGGGCTCCCCAGGCTCCGGAGCCCCTGGATGCCAGAAAGAGGCTGGTTTCAGGCCTTCCCGAGGAGGCCTGCTTTTCGCCCTCCCTGAGCCTCTGCACTATGGGCTGTGTGGGATTTGCCAGTTCACTGAACTGGCCATAAAATTAGCTATGGGTTCACCCAAACCGAGGTGAACCGGTTGCAGCCCACCCTTGACCCGCCGGGGGGGGGTGTCCCCAGGACCCCTTCCCTGCCTGGCCGGGTGGGCTTGGCCTTGTGCCCCTCCGGTGGGAGAACAGCCCCCTTCTTCTTCTTCTTCGTTCCCGTAGCTGTTGGAGGCTGCCAGCATCCAAACCCCCAGCCAGCTTCCCCAACCCAGTGCCACCATTCTAAACCAGTACCTCAGCGCTATCAGATACCAGCAGGCTTGTAAGTCTTTACAGGAGCCGCAGGAACTGATGGGTGGGGGGGGGGGTAGGGTCTCTCCTGTTGCCCTTTAACCTTTCTCCCCTGTCCTCTAGGTTATGCCGAAGCCCCCACCTCCCCTTCGCATCCCTCATGCACCCCACGCCAGAGCGAGGACAAGGACTCCTATACCTCGCCTTTCTCCTCCCCAGGTGGGAGCTGGAACATGGACTCTTCTACCTGCATCTCGGAAGGGTAACACATCGGCCTGTGCAGGGAGTCCTCAACTTACGACTGCGGCCGAGGACAGAGTTTATGTCGCTAAGTGGGACGGTTGAGTGAGTTTTTGCTCCATTGGGCGACCGTCCCTGCCGGAGTCATTAGGGGAATCTGCAGCCGTTAGGTTAGTACAGGTAGTCCTTGACTTATGGCTGCAGCTGAGCCCAGCGATTCGGTTGGTAAGTGAGGCATTTCTTAAGTGAGACAATAGAATAGAATTTGGAATGGAATGGAATAGAATTAGAATAGAATAGAATAGAATAGAATAGAATAGAATAGAATAGAATAGAATTCTTTTATTGGCCAAGCGTGACTGGGCACACAAGGAATTTGTCTTGGTGCAAATGCTCTCAGTGTACATAAAGAAAAGAGACATTTGTCAAGAGTCAAGAATCATCAGGTACAACACTTAATGACAGTCATAGGGTACAACAAGCCATCAATCATACTAGGAACCAGTCAATTTGCCCTTTCTTGCCACCATGGTGAAGAGAATCTCTGCAGTCCCTTAAATTGGTGACCCCGTTTGTTAAGTCAATCTGGCTTGCCGATAGTTTTTGCTTGTCAGAGGTTCGCCAAAGGAGATTTGCACGGCCCCGGGACACTGACTGTCATAAATACAAGTAATTTGCCGGAATCCGAATTTTGATCGTATGACTATGGCGATGCTGCAACGGTCATTAAGTGTGAAAATGGTCACAAGTCACTTTTTCTCAGCGCTGTTCTAACTTTGAACGGTCGCTAAACGAAAAGTTTTTTAAGTCAAGGATTGCCTTGTAACCAAGGTGGTTCAGCGAATCTGGCTTCCCCGTTCCCTTTGCTCATCCGAAGGTCACAAAAGGAGATCAGATGACCCCGGGGACCGTCATAAATACGAGTCCGTTGCCAAGTGTGCTATGACTGCACGGACGCTGCAACGGTTGTGGGAAAAATGAGCCCCCCTTTTTTTTTTCTGGGCCACAGAAACTTTGAACGCTCGCTAAACGAACGGCCGTAAGTTGAGGGCTCTTTCCCTCCCCGCTGCTCCTTTCCCTGACCTTGCTGCTTTTAAACGGCTCACGGTATCCTCTTTGTTTTAATCTGCAGGGACTCGCACTGTCAGTTCTTGGAAACATGTAAGTTGCGGGGTGATTTTTCAAACCACCCCTTTATTGCTCCCAGTTTCTCCCCAAAAGCTCCCGCGGTTCTGGCAAAGGCAAGTCCCAGAGCAAATTGAGCACACACACACACACACACACACAACTCAAGCAGCCTCTGGCGGCAAGTAGTCCAGCCCAACGCTGCGAGCATGATTAGGCTAGCCTGCCCTTTTCCCGCCTTCTCTCCGCTGTACGTGGCCGAGGATCAGGACGGGGCGGTTCTTGCTCACCCGCCTGGGCTGTGTCTCCCATGTTCCCTGCTTAGCCTCTCTCGGTCATCCTGCCCCCTTTCCTGCCTCCTATCTTTCCTCCACCTTCTCCTCTTCTTCCTCCTCTCATTTCCTTCCTCCTCCTCCTCCTCCTCCTCGCCACATACCCCACTCCCTTGTAGCATTGATGATATTCCCTAGCTGGGTCATGAAAGGTCTGCAAGCAAACAGCCAAGCTCGGAGAACCTCGGGGACCCCGTATTTTAGAGGTTCTGAAGCCCACGCATCTTCCAAGTGGCTACAGTTGAGACTCAACGCCAGTTTAGATCTTAACTCCGGGTAGAATCTCCTTAGGAAATAAATCTCTTTTTTTTTTCTTCTTCCCCTTGTTTCTTTCTTTCTGTGGATGCAGCTGAAGATCTGGTGCCAGATTCCGAAAGAAGTACCTCCCCTTTCCAGGTGAGGAGGAAGCTGAGCGATGGTTGGAGAGTGGGCGGGATGAAGTAGGAGGGAATGAATTTGGGGCGGGGGGACTCAGTGGCATTAAAGCCACTGTAACCCCTAGAATGTGTGGTCCTTGATGCTCTCTGAGCTTGGTTGCTTTCTGGAAGACGTTTTGTGACCCAGCTAGGTAACATCAGTGCTAAAAAGAGTGGGGTTTGCGAGGGGGGGAGGAGAAGGGGAAGAGGAGGACTACGGGATCCTTGGGGGTCTCTGAACTTGGGTGCTTTCTTGCAAACATTTCATAATCCAACTAGACAACGGCATGAGTGCTCGAAGGGTCTGGGGTGTGCAGAGCGGAGGAGGAGGAAGGAGAGGGCAGGAGGAGTATGGCATCCTTGGTGCTCTCAGGGTGGTTTTCTTGCAGGCGTTTCGTGACCCAACTGGGTAACAACTTCATTAGTAGAAGCGAAGAGGAGGTGGAGAACTGTGGGGTCCTTGGTGCTGTCTGAGCTTGGGCAATTTTCTTACAGACGCCTCATAGCCCAACCAGGCAATGCCATCAATGCTAGAAGGGAGTGGGGTGTGTAGAGTAGACAAGGGAAGTGAGGGAAGAAGTGGGGAGGAGGAAGAGAAGCTGTGGAGGTCCTTGATGCTCTGAGCCTGCTTCTTTTCTCGCAAACCTCTTGTGGACCAACTGGATAACATCATCAGTGCTAGGAGGAGGGGGAGGAGTGGTTCACTTTATTTACGTGCTGTGACCCAGCCTCCTTTCCTCTACCTCCTCCTTCCCAGATCCTGAGTTAAGACAATTGCCTCCTTGAGGCCAGACCTCCTAAAAGGCTCAAAGTGTTGTCCTTTCTCTCCCCTTCCCTCCAGGGTGAATACCAGGGAACCTATCTCTACACCCTCATCCCCACCTTTCAGGATTACCTCAGGGAGAGCAGCAGCCAGTGAGTGAAGTCCGCACACCTTTTAAAAGTTACTAAACTCGAGAAACCCCCCTCTACCCCCAACACAGAGAGAGAGAGAGAGAGAGAGAGAAAGAGGGACAGCTCTAAATCTGGCCCAGCCTACCACCTTTCCTGCAGCAGCCCCGGGTCAGCTGTGCGCATCCACACAACCCAGACCAGGGGGGTCTCCATCCATGGCAACTTTTTAAGACTCACGGACTTCTAACTCCCAGAATTCCCCTGATGAAGTCAAGTTATATTATACTTTACCGCACACCCACCATCTATTTAAGAAAGTTACACGAACTGGCTGAGGAATTCGGAAGAGTTGAAGTCCACGGGCTTAAAAGTCGCCCCAGTTGGAGACCCCCCCTGAGCCAGACAGTTTTCCTTTGGCTAGGGCCAGTCGTCGGCTTCCGCCACGTTTCCCCAATGTGAGCGATGGGGATTGACGGGCACTCAACTTCCAACCACACTTCGAGCCCAGAGTTCCCGTTGCTAAGCAAGGCGCTGAGCTCTGCCCGGTTTTGCAACCTTTTCTTGCTCCCTCTGGCTAAGTGAATCCGTGTGATCGTTGAATGGATAACCCGGTTGTGAAATGAGTCTGGCTTCCTTCCCCCTTGGCTTGTCGGAAGGTCACAAATGGGGATGCTGCGACCGTCATAAATACGAACCAGTGACCACGGGGATGCTGGGGCCATTGTTATGCGTGACAAAAAACAGCCCCAAGTCACTTTTTTCCAGTGCCGTCGTAACTTGGAACGGTCACTAAGCAACCTGCTATAAGTCGAGGATTACCTGCATTTTAAGTTGAAGGCCACCACACCTGTCCCAACAATTGGGAACACTGATGGGAAGGAGCTCAAAATTTACCCGCCGTTGTTTCCAGGCGCTCCAGAAGCTGAAAAGCCAGTTTAGCGCCTGTTACAATGAAGGGCGCCTGGGAAGACTAGTTTTTAGGGACAAAGGCCCAAGTCGGCGGGACGAGGCCGTGGGTGGTGCCTGCGTCATTTTAAACATTCAGTTTTATTTTTTATTTTTTTTTTCCCTTCAAGGTTGAATAGTTCTCCGTTATGACTGACATCTCCAGAAGTGTGATGGCTACCCCCTCCCACTAAAGACTCCCGAAGCCCAGCGTTTTGCCGACGGTTTTAGAACTTTATTCAAGAAAATGTGTGGGGAGGGGGGGAAAGCCTTGCGGTTTGGTTCATCGGGCCAGCGGAAGAGGAATTGGGCAACACAGTGCCCGCCCGTATCTCAGGCTAAGACCACGGTCGAGCGGCCGGCATTTTTCTCAAGTTGGTCTCAGGAACGTCCACGATGGGACTGCAACAAGTAGAATGTTTGAAAGGAATAAAAGGGTTTGCAGATAGCTTTTTCTCAGAGGTGTCCTTGGGGGGGGGGCTCCATGAGCTCGGGGGCTCGCTTGAGGACGTTTCATGACCCAACTAGGGAACATCATCAGTGCTAGAAGGGAGTGGCGCTTGCAGAGGGGAGGACTGTGGGGGCCTTGGTGGCTCTCTGAGCTGGGTGGTTTCTTTCATGACCCAACTAGGGGATGTCATCAGTGCTACCAAGTTTCCCTGAAAATAAGACCATGTCATATATATATATTTTTTTGCCACCCAAAAAGGCACCAGGTCATCCACTAGGGGATGTCGTCCACTGACTAACCTCACTTCGTGTGCATTGCCCCCGGCCTCCTTTTCGCCGTCGGAGGCCTTCAGGAGCTGCTTCTGTGGCCGGCAAGGCTTTCCTGAAGGCCTCTGCAGCCGGTAACAGAGCTTTGGATCGATCCAGACCTTTGTTCTCAGCTCCAGAGGCCTTCAGGAAAGCCTTGCCAGCCTTGCCGGCTGCATAAGAAACGGGCCGGCAAGGCAGGTGTCGGGGTGTGCGAGGCCTGGCTACACCTGTCCAAAGGTAAGTAGTAGGGCAGTTCTACCACCCCATCCCCACCCTAGCTTAATTTTTACCCCTTGCACTCTGGAGTGGGCAGGATCTTAATTAGGGCTTATTTTGGGGGAGGAGGAGGGTTTATATTGGGTGCAGGTGTAAAAATCAAGCTAGGACTTATTTTCAGGTTAGGTCGTATTTTTGGGGAAACGGGGTAGAAGAGACAGATTTGTGGAGAGGACAAGGAGGTGGACTGTGTGGTCCTTGGTGCTGAGTTGTCTTCTTGCAGACGTTTCATGACCCTACTAGGGAATGTCATCCGTGGGAGTGAGGTTAGAAGAAAGGACTGTGGGGGCCTTGGTGCTCTCTGAGCTTGGTTGTTTTCTTGCAGACATTTCATGACCTAACTAGGTAACATCATCCGTGTTAGAAGGCAGTAGGGTTTCTGAGAGGAAGAAGTGTACGTGCTTGGTTGTCTGAGCTTGAATGTCTTTTTGCAGACAATTCTCAACCCAAGTAGGTAATGCCATCAGTACTACAAGGGAAAGAGGTTTGTAAGTGGAGGAGGAAGAGAAGAGTGAAGAAAGAAGGATGAGAAGTGATAGATCCTTGGTGCTATAGATAGATCTGAACTTGGTTCTGTGTTTGCAGGCATCTCATGACCCAACTAGGGAACGTCATCAGTGCTAGAAGGGAAGGAGGGAGGAGGAAGAGGTTTCTGGGGGGAAGAAGATGAAGTATGGGGTCCTTGGTGCTCTCTGAGCTTGAACTGTTTCCTTGCAGACATTTCACAACCCAACTAGGTAATGTCATCAGTGCAAAAAGGAGGAGAGAGGTTTGCAGACTGGAGGTGGAGGAGGGAGAAGAGAGAAAAGGAGGAGGGGGAGGACCGTGGGGCCCTTGTTGCTCTTCTGAGCTGGGTGGTTTCCTTGCAGACATTTCGTGACCCAACTAGGGAATGTCATCAGTGCTAGAAGGGAGTGAGGAGAAGGAAGAGAAACTGTATGGTCCTTGGTGCTCTCTGAGCGGGGTGATTTCCTTGCAGACATTTC